TCTCTCTCTCTCTCTCTCTCTCTCTCTCTCTGCCGGCGGCGACCACGTAACGCGCTGTCTCACGACGCTCCCTGCGTATTCCACGTATTCCGAGCACCACGCCGAACGGCATTTACGTACGTACGAGCGAATTGAATTTTCTTTCGCGGATAAGGTGGGTGTGCGGACGGACGGCAGCGGTGTAGATCGATCGAGCGAAACACTCCCATCCCGTGGAGTCGAGTCGCGAGAACGCGATGAGCTCGATACGCTACTGAGTTTAGACGCGCCGTGTGTATATCGCGACGAGTAGGTGAGCGAGTGGGTGGGTGGTGGTTGGATGGTTGGGTTGGTTGGTTGGTTTGGTCGGTCGGTCGGCCGGGCGGCGGGGGCGGCAAAGGCGACGGCGGGCGCGACGAGAGTAGCGGCTAGAGGGAAAGAGAAGGTTGAGGAGGAGGAGGAGGAGGAGGAGGAGGAGGGAAAACGTCGGTGGCCTTGAACTTGACTGCCGTCGTTTTTGCGCACAGCCACCGCGGCGTCGCCCGCCCAAAACAGCCCACCGGCGTAGACATATCGGACTTCTCGCCTACAGACAGCGATGACGGTGGAAATGGTGATGGTGGTGGTGGTGGTGGTGGTGGTGGTGGTGGTGGTGGTGGCGGCGGCGGCGGCGGCGGCGGCGGCGGCGACGTCGGTTGTCGTCGTCAACGATCCATCTCTCATCCACGTCGCGAACTAAAGCGACTGATTACCGGGGACCGGAGTCTGTTCAAGGATTCAACCACGTACTTTGATTTCTCGGTATACACTCGGCTTCTTTCTCTTCGAACCTTTCTCTTCCAAACACTCGAATACGTACTCGTTCGTTTCACTTCAGACACGAAGATTGCCGAGACGAGACGAACAGAAATGCCGCGCTTCTCCGGTGTCTCGGCGAAGCGCGACATTTCTTGAATGAATTCATGTAAAACGTATAAGTTTCAAGAAACAATTTGGCAATCGATTTATCCCGTGTGTTTATCGCGACAACTCGCGGATTCTTTGTACTAAACTTGAAGCTTCCAGAGTTTATCGTACTCGGAGCACAGTATTGCAAAGACAAGCCCCGATATCACAGCGTGAAAAACATTGAAAAAAACACGGGAAAGTGGACGGGATTTTTGCGTTCTCACGAAAGTTTTACCGATGTAGAGGAAAAAAAGGGAAGAATAATCGAGTCGGTGGCACCGGTCTATCGCCCGATGTATGCGCGATGCTAGGGTTAGAGGTAGGTAGACTTTACACGAACCGGATCGATATAGCACTCTCACTTTCTCGCATTCCCGATGTACAATGACGCACACGTGGCTGCGTGTCAGAGACAGGGACCGATGTGATTTCGTAGAGTTCGATTTCTAATGCAACAGAAACCACGTGGAGAATGAACACGGCCTCGTGATAATCGTCGCGTTTCATTTATTCGTGAATAATAAACGCGAGATTGCTGTCGCGTGTCTGTGGCATTGTACTTCGAACTCAGGAAAATTATACCGACTCTAAACTCTGATCGAGGCGCAACGGAAAGAATGTAATTAATTGAAATGGAATAATTATTTGAAATCGTTCTGTGAACTGTTCTTACTCCTTAATTCTGATCGAGTTTTTTAATTCATCGATGGATCCATCGCATGATGCGCAAATGCAGCGTTTCGCTGTATTTACGCATCATGCGATAAATCCATCGGTGAATTAAAAAACTCGCACTCTCTTAAGCACTTACGCAAAATATCGCTGAGACGGCTCGTAAAGTTCTTATAAAAAGTATTGTGAGAAATATTATCAAATACATGCCGACTTTATATTATTTACCGGTTATTATAATTGCATCATACTAAAAGCACAAAGTATAATATATAGTATAAAATAAATAATAATATAAATTACTATTATTACGTTTGCTTTATGATAAAAACATAAATTATATATCGTCTTAAAATATATTGAAGCGTACGGCAAGCAAATGCGTTCGGATGTGATTATTATAATGAAGCAGCGTGAAAAACGGAATTACTGCGCGCGAGAGATAGGTTAGAATGAGTGCATTTCGAAGACCTCTTTTATACACCAAAGTTACAAATTTATCGAACGCGCACGCGAAAAAGATTCTTTTCACACTTACCCCGTCTTTCTATTCCCATCAGTTTATTGCGATCGGCACGCGTAGCACATCCTGCAGCAGCTTTAAAGTACGAAAATACGTGTCATCGTTCTCGAGGGTTAAAGGTTAGGATTCACTAAGCCCTAGCGTACCTCTTCTATAGTTAATCGCTAATCCGTTAATCCTGCAACGCACACAGGTTTTCGTTTTTTTCATTGGTTACGTCTAAGTGCAAGGACTATTATATAATACGCAGAGAAACGATAAATACTATATTTTCCTCAGTATGCGTCACATGTAAAACCACTCGCTAGGACCGGACAAATAAATGCATCGCCATTGTGCACTGAAGGTAGCCGTCGGTAACGAAGGTACTCGCGCGTTCGCCTGTCGATACTACACATCGAGATTTCGAACGATGCGATTTTCGGGGATGACACTACACGCCATCTAATATATCAGGACGATGCAGTTGTACTTGTAACGCATACGTAATTGTTTCGTAATAAATCGTTGCTATGGAAATCTCGCTGATGTATCTCGACCAAGGATTCGATGACCTCATCGAAATGCATTCTCAACGCATCTGACTGTTTCAGGGATCTAGACGTTGGAAGCGCGTCTTCCCGATTATTCGTTGTGCTGGATAAGTCGTGTTTTCGGAAGGTTTCGCAAAACATGCACCGCGAATTCGATCGATGGCGATCGCGCTCGTAACGCGGTTAACATCCCGAAAGTGACCCCGGGGGGATCAAGGCCAACTCTCGTGTATTTGCCTCGAATATTCCGTGACGTAAGAACAGAATGAAACGAATGATTGAGGAAAAAGGGAAATAAAAATGATACGTACGATACGGACACACACACACAGCACACATATGTAAAGAGCTCGCAACAAAGATGGCGATCAACAATTTGGCAGATCGTAGATATATTGGCCGTAACGCGACAACGGTGTCTCACAATTCCAAAACACGTACGAGCTCATCGTCGCAGATTACACTTACTTACCGGAATGCTCACCAGCTCGATCGCGATCTCTCCATTGCGCTGCGAACTACAGCCGTTCGTTTTTACGACAAAAATACTCGATTAATGGCTGACTCTACCATCCACCAGCGACCGAAACTCTGGGACAACTGCGCGGGGGGGGAAAGCGCTACCGGACATGTGGCGCCATCGAACGTGCAAGACGTCGAAACTAAACGCGCAGCGAAATTCATGGGATGAGATTTGTGTTCCACTTACTTGTACTTTCTACACTTTGTCGTGCAGAATTCTTCTCGCTCGCGCCGCACGATCAAATATACATTTTTCACGTTATTGAAACAAATAAGTGCGCAATTAAAAATAAGAATCGATACATTTTCCGACTCCGTACATTTTCCTTATTTCCCTTTTTTTCTCAATGTAATATTTCAGGTTTTTAATAGGAATTTTCAAAGATCAAAGGTTGAAGGTGAATAAGGATATATAAAAATCGATTAATTGCATTTTTACTTAAATGGTGAGTGTCATGTGGAAATAATTAAAAACGGATTTTATTTTATAAATATAATTTAAATTTAATAGCTCATATATTATCCTCGATCAGTATAAAAATACTCAATCACATTCGGAGTATGGAATATTTGATATTTTTCAATGAATCGAACGATTCAATACAATAATGTGCCTAATCAAATTTACCAAAACTTAAGGAAGATACTTTTCAGATTGAATTCAAATTAACCTCTAAACTTAGCTTTTATTTCTAAGTATGTTATTTTAATCTCTAAATTTGAACTTATCTTCTCTCTCTCGAATTTAAAAAAAAATATAAAATTGTCTATTCGAGGAACGCTGTCGCACTGAACCCTTCATTAAAAAAATAATTAAGATATTTCTATAGTGCACCTTAGAGTCATTAAACTTTCACGATCTCGCACAAGACGTTATCAGAACTCCATTTGCCGTTGAAGGCAGGTTTTACGCACAACCTAGCATAGGCGTGTTTGTGCATGCGTTCCGGATTGAGAGTTACGCACCCGCTGATTACTTTGCAGTAACATCGCATGTCGGACGGTAGAATCAACACATGTGGTTGTTGATCGAAAAACGCGTATTTTTCCCACAGCTCCGTGTCCACATTCAAATCCTCAGACGGAGGATAAACAGGGTAGAAACATGTTTGTGCGAGTACGTGGTCAGCCAGGCGACTGAGTCTATCCATGCCGGATATGTTACTGAAAATAACATTTATTCGTTTCTTTTTAAAAATATTTTATACAGACAATGTTCGTGCAACATTAAATATATTTTTTTTTATATTTATGTGAAATAAATGTATGAGAAAAATATTTTCTTATTTTCATAAAATTTCCCATTGAGTATTGAATTTATTTTAAATCAAGAGCTAAGGTTTCGTTTGAATAGGTTGCTTATATATAAACACTTACGATATCTCTTCCTTCCCGATATGTTTAATAACGTCGACCGATGTAACACCAATTTTCAAGCCAAAGATGTCCAATACACAGGGATCCGGCATCAACTTTAAGTTTGAATAATTTTGAAGCAACTTTTTATTGAAAACTGTGTACTGCGGAGTTGGAAAAATAGGCTCATGATGCGCGTCACGATTAGAAGCTACCAGTATAACTTGTGTGCTCTTCCTGTAATATCACATAATAGAGATAAGTTAATTCGCTTATTCGAAAAACTTGGGAGGAATTATTATTTTTAATTTTTCATAATGTACATATGATGTCTTGATGTTTTCGTAAAAAGAAAAATTGACTCGAAAATTCGACGAATTTACAATTGAAAACACATGAATAAATTGTAATATCCTGCGCCTTACTTTGTCGACTCCATTATCCTCGCGAGAGTCTTCTCGAAGAGTTCTTGATACGTGTCTTTGACAAGACCATCTTGTATCTCAGGATGCGTGTACTCAAGGAATGGTCCAATGAGTACCAATACATGTGGCTCGTCAAAGGCAACCTTGTCCATCAGATCCCACAACGGCTGGTAATGCATATTGTTTGACGCGGTAAATGGGCCCGCCGCGACGAAGATGTTGACGCTTGACTCAATCCTGGGTGCACACGCCGGTGGCGCATACGCTTTTGCGAATATCTCCCTTACGTAGAGCACATCGCCTATCGGGTTCGTAGCTTCGACAGCCACGATCTGACCAGAGAATACAGAGTAGTGTTTGACGTTCCGGAAATCTAGCTCGATCGAATCCGCTACTGAGGTGCCTTTCCGCCTCGAGCAACCCTCCAACGTCACAGTGTTCGTGGATTGCTTGTTTGTGTTGATACGGCCGAAAGTGCGAAAATATGTCTGACTCACGCTCCGCACGTTTTTCACGTAACGCAAGTCGGTCGACGCGTTACCACTCGACCACGTCTTGAACAATCTGCTACCTAGACTTCGGCAGGTGGACGTAAGAAGATTTCCCTGCTTAGACAGGATCTCGTACATGTATGTAGCGTCGTTAGGAACGTGCGGTTCGTCAGATTTCGTGACTTCGACACTGTAATCTCCCGTCTTTCTCCAAGACGTCCCGGTTTTTTTCTCACTGGTGGAGAACAAGATCTTCCCTTTGTCCGTTGCATTGTACTGACTCGGCGGAGCGCTTCTAAGTATACAATAATAAAGCGTCTTTGCGAAAAAAGTTTATAATTATGCGCGATACGAGATTTATTAGATACGCAAGGACAAAAATATGTTTATATTTACATCTGTGTAAAAAATATAACTTCGAATTTTGTGTCCGACTTAGAAATTATTCTGTTCTTTATTATATATTAAAATCTTTATATATGTTCGTTTCGTGTTTGTGTAAACATATAAATTTTAATCTCTTTTAAAATACGTTAAAATTTAGTAAATAAAATTTATATTTTTTTAGTTTACTTACGGGTTCTCGGTGTTGCTAGCTGGTAAAAATTCCACAGCTTTCGTCGCATTATTGGTCGGAGTATCCGCGCTCGTCTCTACCTCCAGGCTCTTTTGTACTTTCGTGCGCTACGAGACAAAAGAAAATAGACGCGTTACCCATTTTCTGCTCGCTCAAAATGAATTCATTTAAGCTATCATTATTGTGACGCCATTACAAATAATTGCTCTTCATCTCATGTGCGCATGATCCTTAATTAAAATTGATTAATCATAGGATTAATTAGGGAATCTTATAGGTCTTTTGTTTTAATTTCAAATAACGAATAACTACGAATTTTATTTTGTTAAATTTATTGCTAAAAATCATACATTTCCAAATCTGTTTTACAAGACACCTTAACTACAATAACGATAAAATCGTTACAATTCTATGCGACTAATTAGCACGTCGATTTTCTAGCAAAACAAAAATCTCTCATCGTCAATGAACCCTGAGGATCCTCTCATTTTACGAAATTCCGATACAAAGACAGATTGCCGTAGACGAGTATGTATCTAGTCACGAAATGACAGAACGAGAACGTGCACCACATTCATACTCGTCTATGGAATTGCTTTCTTTGCCATTTTAATTGCTTCCTTTAGTCGATAACAGCAATCGTTGATCGGATGTCGTGCATAAATATCTCACTTTGTTTTTAACAAAATTAAAAATTTAAAACAATTGAAAAACCCAAAGTATTTTCAGTTATTTTTGCATATTTCGAACAAGACATGACTTTGCTGAACCTAATTCGACCTACAAGCACGAATGCTTGAAAACATGCTCGACTCAAATTGAGAATTGCTATCGACCGCGTCATACAGCACGTGTATTGTACAACATTTCGATCTCGTTGATTATTATCAGTGTCTGCGACGTAATGTCCAAATGTGCTTAATGAGTGTGGATCTAGTCACAAGTTGAACAAACTGTGCACTAGACCACCACTCATTCGGCAAATTCGAACGGATTTTGTCCGCTCCTCTTCTTCATGGCTCTTTCCGCCGCATATGGGATGCTCGATTTCGCAGATATACGTTAGCTTCTCGCAGTGAACGTTGCTGACGAGCGACTCTGTATGAGAAAGGTTAACTGCGATTAACCTGCCCGCTCTTAACGTCCGCTTTATTACGCATTGTTTCAATCAAGTTCGGAGAAGGTCTCAACTCGCGCGCGTCCGATGCGATCCACTAGGTCTGGACCCAGTCTTCCAATCGAAAGCCAGTTGACCGGTTCACTCCGCTGCAGCAACGCATCTCTCAAGTCGCGTACGTTACAAGTAACGCTGCTTCGCACGTGACCTGCCCCTACTACTTCTTGCTCCTTTTCACTGTTTCTCGCTGTGGACACGTAACGAAGAACTGCGAAGGTTCCGTGCCGGTCAGCGGCGGCGACAACAAAGTTTTTGTCCCCGACGGAAATATACCTCGCGTGTCTTCCCAGTCGTACCTGGCGAGACCCTTGAACCCCTGACAAAAATATATTTCGGTCTCTCGGCAAAAAAAAAAAACCTTGGACCGTCGACAAGATATATTTACTTCAAAATGAGATATTTCAAAAAGAGAAGTTGAAACCGGTATTATACTTCAACAAGATCGCATCTCGATGCTGCGAACATGCGAGTGATCTCTACGCCTATCGATGACAAATCATCAAACACGACGATCGGCATTTTCCTTGAGCAAAGTCCTTTGTCTCCGTTCCGTGTATCTTTTTCGACAGTTAAACTTGAAATGGTTGTATCAGTTAATCGATTACGTCCTTACCGTAAAATTTAGATGAATCATGAACGTTAGAACCTGCGATAATAGTTGATCTTTAAGATTTTCAAAGTTTCAAGAAAGTTTCCTGACCTCCAACACGAGATATTCGAAAGCCTTGTAGAAACGCCCGATTTTTGGAACTGTTAACTTCCAAAATGATTCGCGCGACTTTCATCATGCAGTTGAATTGATCCCTTCACTATTCATGAAACGACAAGTGATCCAACGCCGATTGTTACGGCGCCGTGTTCTCCCTTCCTTGTCATTTCGTTTCTCTGTTCAACTCGACTTGTCTCGATTATCCTTGACACCTTTCGTTCGACTGTTCCCGGACCGTGGGAAAGTACGTTCGATTTTGGCCAGTTACACTCGCGCTTCGCCACCGAAGAAGAAGGGGACTACTGCTAACCGCCACGAGAGAGAAAGGAAGAGAGATAGAACTGCCGACCGCGTTCGTTCGCTCAGAATGCACGCGTATATATTGATCTGTCTCATCTGAGTCACGCACCACATGGTACGAAGAATAGAGATGAAAGAAAAGCGCGACGGACCGAAAGCCGTACGGGCGAGGGAAGAGATTGGTAACAGTTGTTGTTCAATTGCACTTAATTGGCGGAGACACCACGAACGGGCGGACAGCCGCACGAGGAAACCGTATGTTCGAAGAACGTGATATCTAATATAGAATGCGAGTTATTCGCGTCGCTTATCGGCAGGAACGCGGCACGTACAGACAATTCTCGACGATTCTCCGATCAAAGAGAGAAAGTCATAACAAACGAACAAATGAACGAACGAACGAACGAACGAACGAACGAACGAACGAACGAACGAACGAACGAACGAACGAACAAATGAATGAATGAATGAACAAACATACGTACAAGTGGAAACCGACGGAAGACAGGTTTAACGTAGTCAGTGAAAGGTTTCCGACAATTTAAACCCCTCTACTAACACCACGTATCGAAACATGTCGAATACAATCTTTTACTCTGAAGATTCAAAAAACTGGAACGTTAATACGAAACTAAAACGAAAGAAATATAACCGTAAAGAGCTTCCTTGATTTTAAGTAAATAATAAAATCACAAAGTTTTGACGTTAGAAGATTAGTACTTAGAAAGATATATATCAACTGTAATAAGAGCGAATTGACAAAAGTTATGTTTATCGTAGTGCACATCGTAAACAAAATATCACTTTAAAAACCGAAATCTAATGCAATCAAAGTTTACCTATCGATTAATACATACCTCCGAAATTCGAAGTTTGCAGAACAATACTAACTCTCGCAGTTGCAATAAGATAATCACTGAGTCTACGAAAATATACCATAAGAATCTCCAAGTACGAGTGCGTTAATATCTGAAAAATTATAATTTTGCAAATAGGATGCAAATCGTGTTTTTACTGCAAATATCTCGGTCCTTGACAAACACATATACACAATATTTGCAGCTCAAAAAGATCGCTTCAGTTAAGTTTAATTTACAGGTTTTCCGACAAAAAAAAAGCTTAATTTTGTAAAATGCATAATATATAATTACCGTGTTAAAACAAGTAATGTAGACGAGGGATCGAAACTGACACGATACCAGTCGATTCAACGATGCTATAGATACACCGGAAAGGATCTTACGTTAATTATTACATTCCTATCGTCGCGCGGTACCATTCACCGTCGGTGCAACAGGTTGCAGCAACAGGCAGCGCGATTCAGGATTCACCGAGTGAACGGTCGACGCACTCTTGTGGCTGCGCGCTGCGCCGCGGCTTCCTTTCCCACGACCGCGCAAGCGCGCTCAAGCCGCGCTACGCTCGCGAAAGCGAGGTTAATCGCTGCAGGAACCGTATTTCTCCAGCATGCCCGTCGTATCGCCTGCCGGCCTATTAGTCCCCGCATTCACGACCGCAAGTATCCCACTCGCCATGAACAAACGCGACGCACGGACGACTCCTCGTGGAGGAACATATCGGGCGAATCGCACCGCGATCGGCAACGGAAACGACTGGCGTTCTCGAGCTTCACTCGCGCCGAAATCCATCATGGCCGCTAACGTCGCCGCTCGCTTGGAGCTCTCCCCTCTCCCTCTTCCTCATCCTCTTTCTCTCTTTCTCTCAACTACGTAACCGTCGCCCGCACTCTCCTCTGTAAATCTCCTCGACGAGGGCACACGGCCGGCAAAAATACCCGAGATTTTGCGACTCGCGATGCTCGAATCGACGCGATTATACCTCGATCGATCGTACGCGATGAAAATCTCGAGGGAACCGTGGCCGATCTCGGTCGCCGCCACCGATGGTGGCGTCGCGTCGGCGACGCCATCAAGATACCGAGCAGAGTTGTATCACCGTGACGATAAAGATACAATTATGATATACATCAGTGGGACGAACGTTAAATGAGAAACTAGACACTACCGTGCCGGCGGATTATCCGACGCTTTGTCCGTCGAAGTGACGCGCGAACGTGAACACGAACGACGAGCTGACGGACAGTACAACGGGGTCCTTGAAAACTGAAATCGTGCCCTTCGAAAGAAATCTGCTCGGGTCTCTCGGTGATGGGAGAGGAAAGGAGAGGGGAATCCCACTCCCGACAGAACGGCGCGTTCTGTCCTCGTCCCACCAATAGAAACAGGTCGCCCCCTTCCCTCCCCGAACGCTGGAGTATCCTTTGTAAGAGAGAAAGCGGGGCGACAGCGGGGTGGGGATAACGGTGGGGTAATCTACCTGGGTGATTTTTGTGGCGGGAATTACGGTGCCACCACGCGAGATCCTGTAACGACGCTGCTGCTGCTTCTTCTTCTTCCTATGTTCCCCGAAGAACGAGAAAGATAGAGAGAGAGAAAGAGAAGAGAGATCACCTGCTGGCAAAAGGAATGCACGCGATGCGACGTTTCGGAAATCTCGTTGCTGTGATCGAACAAACTTCCGACACGGACGACACAGAAAGAATTTGCACAGATGCGCATTCTTTTCGCAGACACAGCGCGCTATTGCGAAAAGAACGTGCGTTCACGCACGTGAGTCAGAGAAAGACAACGGGCACTCTATAGATCGACCGAGGATCGACCGCGCGAAGAATGCGAGACAGTGTTGCCAGAACGACGTAAATCATCCTCGTACCGGAGTGCCTGCCGGAACAATGCTACTCCGTCACGGCATTTCTTTGAAAGGATACAAAGTCGTTTATTCCAGATAAAATAGACAGCCATGAACTTCCAATGAATATCATGTATCCTGCATTCCGCAGGAAAAAATTTACGCCGGAAATGAAGTATAGTATAGGATATAATTATAATAAAATAAATAGATATTTAGAAATATCAACAAAGGTATATAGAAATCATAAAAATTCAATAGATAAAGGATGATTGCTGCGTTTTGTTAACGTGAATTTACTGAAACGCGAAAAACTACGCAGTTGATTTTGCTTTATATCCGTAATAATAAATCTCAACAATTATGCACATTGGAAAAAAGTGACAAGCTATAATAAAGATGTTTGCGTCGACCTCGAAGTACGTGTCAAATGACTCAGCATATAATAACATAAGAAATATAGATTTAATATGTGTGTATATATATATATATATATATATATATATATATATATATATATAAAATAATATAAGAGAATATATATTTCCATAAAGCAATTGCCTGCTTTATGTAGAAAACAAATGAAAAATTATTTTTTAAGTACTTATTCTCCTTTATATACTTAATTATTAATTTAATTTTCCTTCATTTAATGTACAGATGTAGAAGAATTAAAGATTTAGCACACTTTATATTTTAAGCTTCAGCATTTACATAAAATCAAATGGATGTAGATATAGACATTATATAAGTACGCTATATTATCTTTAAACTTATGATTTAGCAGATTTTGTCAACATGGGGTTTAGAGAGACTTTGGTTGGAACTATATTGCTATTTTTTATATAAATTAATATAAAAAAGACATATGAAAACTCACCATTGACGGTTGAATCTCAGAGCAGCCATACATGCTAAGTACATCATCGCTTCCACTATAATAATTATATGTAAGGTACTACAATTATATTAATAAAGTTATAGACAAAGAAAAAATGATATTTATTTATCCATCAGGATAAGAAAAACTTGATAAAATATTAAAGGATACAAAGCTTCATTCTCAATGAAACGTCTATCGTTTGTATTTTGTTGTAGTTCCATACACACATCATTTTTCTTAGTTGAATTATCCAGCTTGTAATCTTTTTTCAATATTGCATTTTCCATCTCAATGAGAGCTTTGATAGTGGGATCAATATTGTTATCATTATTGAGGCAAAATGTAAGCCACAATTCAGTAAGCTTCTCCACATCCACATTGTATGATTCACATAGCTCGAAGCCTATAGTATAACCATCCCAATAATCAATTTCGCTGAAGATATTATATTTTCCTTTCTCAGTAATAAATATTACTTAATTACTCATGTTTTTTAATACTTCCAATATAAATAATCAGGGCAATACAAAGAAACATAAATTTTCTGCTAATATGTAAAAGAATTATATCAATGTTACAATTTTGATTATGACTTGGTTCTATGCAGAATCAATATTAGGACATAAAATAAATTTAAATATAATCAAAATAAATTGATAATTTTTATCGATATAGATTATTTTTTAAATATTTTACATATATCTGTGTTTATGTTAGGTTGCCTGTCAGTGTACAATTGAGGTTATACGAGTGTGAACAGATAACTTCTTTTGCGATGCACACTTGATCAACATTACTCTACAAAAGATGTGTCCAATCGATCGTACAGTACAATAATTTTATCTTTAGCGCGCATAATTAGGTTAAAAATTTCGAGAAACATCACGTTTGTTGTACTTAAGTTGGAATGCACGCGATACAAGACTTTAACTTTGACAAGAAATCTTCCATATCTTTATGATTTAACAGAATAAAAAAAATACTTACATTTCTCGAGAACGGCATCACTTTCAACTTGACAGCCTAGATCCTGGAACAGCTCCAATAAAGACTCTTTTCTTTCCATTTTACATATGGATAGGTCACTATTACCGCCAAAACTGTCGAACAAGATGTTTTTGGACGAAGTGACAAATTTCACGCAAGCGCAGTGTCGTATTCATATTCAGATACACATGATATCGCAAATATTTGATTCCGTAATGAATTTAACATTTTGTATATTAAGATTATGTAAATTATTTATATTAGATTGTACGATTTCTGACAAATAAACGAATAATCGTAATTAATATGCTAGTACTTGCTCGATTTGCATAAAAAGAAGAATATCGTTATTTCGAGAAACTCGATTGTTACGATATTCAAGGCCGATTTACGAGAAGTCGAATTACGAGATATCGCAGTGTTCAGTTCATGGCTGCGTTCGTTTTGGATGCTTTCATGCTGAAAGTATCTTTCAATTTTCCTTTGACATACAGAATACGTTCCGATATTTATTGTCAGTATTGCAAATTTATAGTTTATGTTACATATACTATTGATTTTCAATACTGACAGTGAATATTAAAACGCAATTAGGATTGCGTTCCAAAATAACCTTTTGAGGAAATTTTACTTGAAACTCTATAGTTTATGTAACGTAAACTGTAGGTATTGAGTAAAATTTTCTTCAAAAAGAACGTTTTAGGATGCAACCCAGAATGAGCAACAAAGATAAAATGACGTACAGCGTAAAAGCATCCAAAACGAACACACCTCATATGTACGGGATAAGGTCCGTTCGACACTGAAAATAGGTTTGTTCTTTCGACCTGACCTAGGGCTGCACTGGAACTGTACTAGTTGAAGAAAGTTCAAGATAGTGCAGACCAGTGCAAAGATACATATGGGTCTGAAAAGAACGGGTAAGAGCAAGTTAGAGTAGTGTAAGATGGCGGACAACATGGCTGGATTAAATAACATAGATCAATTTATGGTCATGTTTTCGCACTTATAGCATTTTATGTTTTGTTGAACAATCCTATTTCTTTTAAAAACTGTTTTGTGTTGGATACCCATACAACAAATCCCTCCGAAAAAACGTCCAAGAGCCTTCCCAGGATGTCTTTCGGATATTTTGTGCTGTTTGGATAACATTCTAAATACTTCTTTTATGTCATTCTACATTATATATTTATTATATATTTATCTACATTATATATTTATTATATATTTAAGTATTTACTTACTGTTTACAGATTCCGTCGTCGGATTATTTCTTCTACGTAATGTCAACTAGGTATACCGATTTTACAGATTATAGATACAAATTTAAATTTTTTCGGTTAGCTGCCCTGCACTGCTTGCTCTACCTCCAGACCTAGGGCAGTCAGTTCACTGAACTCGCTGCACTAGTTCAGCCTGCACTGTTCGAAAGAACACATTTTCTTGCACTGTTCTGATCGAAAGAACGCATTAGTGCAAACTTCGTGAACTAGTGCAGCCAGTTCAGGTCGAAAGAACAAACTTAATGCTTTAAAGTGTCAATTGAAGCGATACGATTGGTCTACTCTGAAGCATTCACAGCGTTAAACGGACCTTAGCCAGGTTGTCCTATATTTTCCGCGGAAAATTTAAAAATTACATCAACGGAAACATTGGCTGCGTTCAGCAGAGAAAGCTGCTTTGTAACTGTTGTAAAATTTGTGAATCTGATTGATACATGCTCTTGGATTCAACCAAAATTAAGAGCATACTCCAATTAGATTCACGAATTTTACAAAAGTTGCAAAGCAGCTTTCTCTGCTGAACGTAGCCATTCGTTAAAGTTGCAACGCGACAAGCTATTGAAGACAGACAGTTCGATTTTTAACTTGAGAATGAGGACTTTATGCAGTTAGCTTTGTTCTTTTATCGTCACTTTGTTGCAGTCGTTATACATGCTATCTCCCATATAGCACAAATCTCTAAGAGACTACTTAGTGACTTCTTAGAGTTCCAAAAGAGTTCCCAAGTTCTCCAGAATACTTTTAGAATTCTTTAAGAAGTCTTAGAGAATTAAACTATATTATACAAAAAGGGGAATAATACTTTTTAAAACTAATATACTCGTTACTAATTGAACACACACAAACTTAGTGATAAGAAATAACTATTACTATTACTAATTTTAAAAAATTACTCATTAATATTATTATTATTTAAGAACTAAAAAGTTATTACAAAAAGTATTGAGTTAATACTGTTTTCACCAAATTTTGATTACATATCCTTTTCTTGATATTCTGATGCTGCTCATTTCATATACATGTATTCTACATGTATTCACAAATAAAATATAAAAGTTTCAATTGTATTTGTTATACTACCAAATGTAATATTACCAAATGTAATATTACCCAAGAAATATAATTCCCCTCATAATACAAAATCTTGAAAGGATACTTTGGGACTTGTGTGGACATTTAAAAGTCCTTGAAATATTTTTAGGATATTCTGAAGACTTATGCAGACATTTAGCAATCTTTTAAATCTTGTGCTATATGGGTTTGTTATTGTAACAGTTACATTTAAAAAAATTAATGTCTTTACTAAATAATTATATACAAAAAATAACTTATAATCTTAAGAACATTATGTAAAGGTTACTCATTACTTATTGGAGAAACTTATTATTATTATTGCTAATCTTGAAAAATTATTTATTACCGTTATTGCTATTCAAGAAGTAATGAATGATTACAAAAAGTACTGAGTTAGTACAGTTTTCATCAAGTTTTGAATATCCTTTTTTTGACGGTTTGATACCGCTTGTCTCATGTACATATATTTTCACAAATCAGAGAGCCATAAAATCTTCAATTATATTTATTACTATTACCTAAGAAATATAATTCTGCTACTGTACTTACAGTTACATTTATAAAAGTTAATGTCTCTATTAAAGTTACAAATAAAAAAGAACTAGTAATCTTAATAGGATTATGTAATACTTATTTCTTAACAATATTTAAATCATTATTTATTTTTATCAGGGACAAGCATTGTCAAATAGTCTGTCAAAGTACAAAGATTCCATTATTTCTTATTATTAATTCTTTCAATGTTAACATAATTATACATGTAGGTAAAAATAATTTCACGCTTATTATACATATAAGTTAGAAAATTCTATTATCTTTTATTTCTGTATTTAATAAAAACTAATAATAATTTTGTTTTTTATTTTATTATTGTTAATTATATACATTTATACAGTAATTTTGTAGTTCTTATAAATATAAATTAGAAGAACATTGATCTTTTTATTGTCAGATGTAATGAGAATATTCTCGATCCTTATTTCACTTTTTGGTTCATTCAAGAATTTGTAATATTTCCTTACTGTATATCAATATAGAAAAAGGTGTCAATTTATTCTAAAGAAGAATCAGTACTAAATAATTAGGAATACACAGTCTTCTTAAAAAGATACGAATACAAGTCTATTTTGATATTTAAATAAAAATAATCATCCAATATAATACTATGTATTTCTCTAATTTTTTTTTTAAAGTAACATTTCAAGCATCTTTTTAAAATAACAAAATAACAAGATTTTGTTCCAAATCTAATCAAATCAAAAGAAAATTATGCGATACAAAATCGAAAATTTTCAAAATGGCAGTTAATTACTTATCATATAATTACGTCAATATGTAAGTTTATAAGCTGCATAACTAATTTATCTAATACATGGCGTAATTATAAGCAAGCAGATGAGTTTGCCGATTCACTTGACATTTATGCATTGTTGCAATATATTCGTCAGCCGAATACTTATAATATTATAGATACATTTTTCAGCTATTTTAAAGGCTTGATATCAATTACTTCACTGATATTCGGTACTGAAGTACGCTGATGTGCACACAGATTAACCTGTGCATTCACTATAACAATTAATAGAATCATAAAAGGCTATGCTTACATCGAGCTCGCAATATCCGTAATATAAATTTTTTGGTCATGTGACCAAATTCGTCTCGTTATGTTATTTCACTATATGACACATCAGCTATACTCACATTAACGATTACAAAATACATACAAACCAGAGTCTTCAGCGGCAACTGATTTAGAGTTCAATAGCAAAAAGAATGATCGTCCCTTTACAAAATCACGAACACACACTTTATTATCACATTATGCTGCTAATCATCATCATTAAGAAACTTGTCTAGTGGATTCGGGCCCATCCTTTTCGGTTTATTCGTCGATGCTTTCTCCGTACTGTCAACTGAAAGAATGTCCGAAATTTATAAAAAATTTATAATATAATAGTTAAATGTATGGACTCAAGTAAATATACTTTAAAGAAATATATATGCAGAATATATGTGAATTAAATTGAACGTTCTCTTTTACATAAATAGTTTGTAAAAAGGTTCAGATTTTTTTTATCAAACGACTAAATTTACAAGAATCCTGTAATATATATGCAATATGTGAGAGCTGTAATTAAACAACAAGATAGAAATAAGTAAACTAAGAAAATAAAGTAAAGTAAAAGATTACTTGTTGGACGTTGTGCATTGAGACAGCTAAGCCACTCTGTCATGCTGATCCTTCTATCGTTGTTGATATCGCAGTATCTTGGCAACTTCTTGCCACATCTCCGAAGCTGCTTGTTGTTTGCCACCATCACACGAAAACTTTTCCATTCTTTTCTTTCTAAGACCTATATACAACATGACAATTGTACAAATTTTTTTTTACATTGCAAGTAATTAATTAAATGTTTTATCGGCTTTCAACTATTATTTTACTAAAAGTCGATATATATTTTTTTACAAATATCTTTCTTGTAATATAATCATTTAAAGATAAATGGTACATTTAATTTCATTTGATTTCATACGTTTGTATAAAATATCATGAAGGGAGAGCTATGAGGTAGATTATTCAAATTCTTAAACAATTAGATAAACATACTTTCGAAGATAAAGAAATACAGGTTTGATAAAGAAATAGGTTTGTATAAAATATCATGAAGATAATCATAATCATTTAAAGATAAATGGTACATTTAATTTCACTTGATTTCATACGTTTGTATAAAATATCATGAAGGGAGAGCTATGAGAGAGATTATTCAAATTCTTAAACGATTAGATAAACGATTCTTAAACGATTAGATACTTTCGAAGATTAAGAAATACAGGTATAAGTGCCTTTCTCGTTAAATATCCTAAATTAAGCATTCCTAAATATCTTACCTTCTATCTACCTATCTAAGATACCTAAGTATCTTACCTTGTTCTTATTCTTATCAAGCATCACGAAATGCCATGTAGCTATCCTCTCCTCCTTAGAAGCTGGCCAGTTATCGGTAGTCTCATCGGAATCAGTGCTCGATGCTTTCATCTTTGTTTGCATGAGCTCCATTAGGTCTCGGAGAAATAGTTGTTTCTTTAACTCTGGACATCCTGTTGACATTAAATAATAATAATCGATACGAGACAAGAAATTCATTTTTTACTACTAGTAATACAAAGTAATTATTATGCATAATCCCAGACAACATAATGTCTACAATCGGGACATAAGACGTCTTAAAGATCATCTTTAAGATGTCTTTCAGACGATTTACGTATAAATATCTTTAAGGCATCTTAAAAACTATCTTTAAGACGTCTTATGTCCCGATTTTAGACATTATATTATCTGAGATCAGAAAAAAATTTTTTAAATGCAGTTTATATATGCTTGCCTTTCATAGGTCTGCTGGGAGTCGGGACTGGATTGCAATTTGGCGCGGTATCCTTCCCGGATGTTCCAGGTATAGGTTTGCCCGTATCTTGATATACGCACCAGCAATAACCTGAGTAACATTGTATTCGGAGATATCTTCCATCGGGTGTGCATTGAGGTACGTAAAACTTCTTTTCCGATTGTATTTGATCTTCCAACGCCGCTTTCCTATCCGCCGTACAGTCAACCGCTGTAAAAATTATAATTAATTATTGTTTAACTAAATAAATATTAAATAGTTCCCCTCTAAAGGAGAGAAAGAATTATTACGATGTGAGACAACAAACAAACAAATGTTGTGTTAGAGTAACGAGTAAGGATCATTGCGAGATATCCGTATGAATCAATTAATTCACGTTCAACTAACAAACATTGTTAAATGAAGTTATATGTTAATCACAATTAGAAATGACACTTACCATCATTTTCCTCCTTAGTATCAGTAAGCTCGTCGGTAAACGTCGGTTTCGTATGAATAGGTGCAGGGCTACTTTTCAAAACTGCGAAAAATACTGAAAGTTAGTGTAGCGCTGTTCTTATATGAATTTAATGGAACACAGCCACCGATTCCTTGATCCCCAAAACTTTGAAATATTGAATGTGTCCGAACACACATTATCTCTTTATCACCGTGAAACGCGCAAAGCAAAAAAAATCATCATTTATTAATTATTGTATATGACATTACCATTTTATTAACTGGTGTTAAAAACAAAACAAGTACAAAAAATGAAATACACAAATATGAACAGAAACAAAATACAAATCGTACAAAATACAACTGAATAAATGACGGCTAGAAATAAATAACTTAGTGGTGTATTTTATTTTTTGACAATACGGTATTGCAAACTTTTAGATATTTTGTGAAAAGTTTACGATGTAATGTGTGAAAAAAGAGGAAAAATAAGAAAAAAAACAAACGTGTGTGTCTGCTCTCACGAATCAGCACCGATGATAATTTACAAAGGAGTTTTGCGTAAAATGTGTTTTTGTGTAAATTATGATTGCAATATTTTGTTCAGCATGTATATTCTGTACAGCTTGCGAGATTTAAAACTAATTGTTAATTGCAGTGGTTTATAAACAAAACACGATGGATATATGTACAGTTTGCAAAGTTATTTTGTAAATTTATGTTATTGACATCAAAGTTTCTGTATTTCACAAAGTACGTATTCACAGAGAAAGCGCTGCCACGTAGAAGCTCATTGACTTATTATTCATGAATATAACAAAACACAACTATGCATTTTAGTTTCTTAACAATTTACTACATAAACTATCTAAATAATGAGACAATAACAAAAAATTATAATTAATGATTAATCTTAACGATATCAAAAGGTCTTCTTTTTATGTTTCTCAATTTTATCAAATATTTTACAAATTTTATTAAATATTTTACAAATAATACTAATAATTATTTAATCATATAATGGATTATTATTTAATTAAAATATATAAAAGTACAAACGTGACAGCGCTTTCGATTTTCATGACTAGGACTCACCTTGGTCCGTGGCCCGTGTCCTTTGGGCCTCAGGGACCTCGGGGCGCTCGTCTGCGGGGTTCAGCGACAAGAACAAATGTACTAAATGATAACAATGATGTCACTCAGCCGACCGGCCTTACCTATATATGTACAATTTTTGTTTTGTGTCATTCACGCATCGCAGGTTTATTTTAGCACAGCAACGAGCGGGCGAACACGGGTAATAGTTCAGCAACGACAGTTAATTCCACGTGCGCGCGCAAAAACAACACATGCACGTTAATGTTAACCATTTGCACTCACTCATTTATCTGATGTGTTGCGTGTGTTCGATTTAGAGCATTATTAAAATAGCATTATTAAAGTAATAGTGTATTGAAAGAAACAAAATTGTATGGAATAATCGTAATATGTAGAATAGTTCTCGGTAAATCCCTAGGATTTAACTGGTTCTCTATTCCGTAGCAAATATTTCTACAAATTTACACACATGTGTATATGTGTGTGTATATATATATGTATGTATGTATGTACGCTACCGATTCCTAAGCGGTTTTCGCGGATTTTCTTTAACTGCATTTCATAGAGATATTGTGCGATTTCTCTTTCTCTCTTTCACTCTCTTTCTCTCTCGTAGAACATAATTTTTTTTCCTTATCTTCCACAATTTTCTCTATGGTAATTTTTAATTTAGTCACGATTAGTAATTCTCGAGCAATTCTTAATGATATTCAGATCGAGGAAACGCGCTGGCTGTTAAAAAAATCGATTATATTTAGCAAAAAAAGGAATGTTTTACTGCCGTTGTTATCTATCAAAAAAGAATACATATTTCTTTCTTTTTATACATATAAAACATGAGAACGGATTGTAACTTTATCTTTTTTATCGGAAGCAAACGTATAATTACGTAAATTACTCTATTTATATCATTTGTTGATGTTAGGCTGGTGCAAAAGGTATTTGCATGCAAACAATTTTTAAAATACGACTACGTGAAAGAAGCGCTATCTATTTTTACTTTGATTTAGTGTAACTCTCTACTCTTTCTCGAAGTTTACGTGCCGAACGTTCCATTACTTTGTAACATAACAGTAGTGATGACCCCCAGAATGTTCTTCCAAAAGCACTTCGATAAAGGAAAAACAAACAATCGTTGAATCACGGTGTCGATATCATGATTATACCCTCTAATTTGCTCTCACAGTTACGTGCGTTCTGTGCGAATCAATTTTACTTCAAGAAGAGTGGAAGTTTATCTCGGAACTTCCACTCTTCGCGGAGATGGAGATCACACGAGCGTCTCACGTCACGTTCAGGATTTCACGCAGACACCGGCGGTTTACTCGTTATTAGACGGTTGCAAATAGCAAATAATCTTTGTCGTCGCGACGCGTGGGCGAGGATTTAGCTTCGTACACGAGGTCAATTGCTTCAATTCCTCAGCGACCGGTCGCCGTCCGTGTGGGCAAACTTCCGGCAGGATTCGCAAATGTTAAGCATACGGATCGGCGCACGACGGCGGGCCGCATGTGCTCCTTAACGCGCGTGACATCCTGTCGCGACACGGCGCGGCGTCGTCGTCGTCTTCGTCGTCGTAGTCGTTGCTTTAATTCAAGCAGCGATTTAGACGCCGAAATGACGTTGCTCTTCCGGCATTACGCTTAACGCAGAAAATTGCCACCGTCGTTCCCCGCGTATGCATGCTCGCCGCGTAATTTTGCGCCGTCGCCCACCGCCACCATCACTACCACTACCACCACCACCACCACCACCATTATCACAACCATCATCATCATCATCATCATCATCATCATCATCATCATCATCATCACCACCGCTGCCGCCGCCATCGTCATCATTATGAAAAAAAAGAAAAAAAATTTGGAGGAAAGCGCATGCAGTATGTGTTAAACTTACGAGTGAAATCATTCACGAGGCAAGCACCCCATTCCTGCTTGGATAGCTTTAAATCTCGATTTAGGTCGCACGTGCGGGCGAACGTGCGTGCGCACTTCTTCGGTCTCACCGCCTTCTTAGCAAGTCTTCTAAGCTCCTTGTACTCCGCTCTGTTCAAGTAGCCGTCCCCGTCCTTATCCAGAGTGGCGAATTTCCACGACAGCACTCGCTCGACCTCCTTGTCGCCTAACAAGCAACATATATCTCAGCATCTCTCGATATTGCATCCGTTTAATATACCGAGTGTTTGAGCAGAAGTACGCGTGAATCTTCCGTTGCCCACAATTAACCGAAACGAACGAGTCACTCTGTATTATCGAAACCGAAAGTCATTATTCTAACTTTGAAAAAATCAATCTTTTCAGCTACGTTCAAGCGCACGCGGTTCAATTATCCAGTTCAATGAGCATCATATATTCTCGTCAAATCTTTAGCTTTTTCCCTACAACTTGTATACTGTTTTAGAGATCTGCGTTTGATTTCCTTGTTTTAAGATGCCAAGAATATCAATGATGATTGATTCTTGACGCGTCCGGAAGCGTCTTAACGCGGAATTTAAAGAACTCTGGCTAAATTCATCATATTTCTCTCAAGTATACGAATAACGCGTATGTCGGGTGTAACTCACCATCAGCGGAGATATTCGTCCGCCTGTACTCGATCTTGAAGTTCTCGATGAGGTTCGCGTTGAACTTGGACTTCTCGTTGCGATCGCAGGTATTCCGGTGCCGGTTGCTGTCATACTGCCTGCGCTGTTTCCAATTCGGCGAGCGCCGTGTCTGGCCGCTCCTAGTGGAAGCAGCAGATCTGGAGCCGGGTCTCAAACATCGTGGTCTTTCGTGTCTTACCGACGTGTCGGGCAACGGCCGACCTTGCGGCGTCACGCACCAGCAATACCCGGTTTCCGTGTGACATTGGACCGGCGCGTACGTACCGTCCTTCCGACAAGTGGGCTTCGTGCCCGCTCGTGCGGTCATCCTCGCCGACTCGCACGCCGATGTATCTAAACAATCGACCAAAAAATGCTTTATCATACATCAGTAATCGAAAGGTGAAGAGTGATTCCCTCGATAGGAAAGCAACGTAGCCTGATATTTCAAGTCCGCGTTTATTTAACGAATAATCATGACTTCTCATAAATCTCCCCGATTATTCATCAATCTGTACTTCATACGAGTATAATAATCCAAACAGACGAATAGCTTATGAATATAAGCTTTGTTATTGATTGTACCCTCAATTAAAAATTGTAAATAATTTACAATCTACCGATCTTGAAAGAGAAGAGGAAATCGATAAGTGAATATATGGGTTCACAAAGATTCATTAATATTGTTAGATTGGTCGAGAAATGTATAATAATCTGTGCGTAAAGGGATTATTGAGAATATAAGATGTAGGATAATATATTGAGAGAAAGAAAAAAAAAAGTAATAAGCAAAAGAAGCCAATCTCAAAGTCAATCTAAAGTTGAAAGATTTGGTACCCTCCACGAGCGTAATCTTAACGAAACTTTTGGTACGACGAGATAAGCATGATTCCATTTAGAAATACGCAGTTTAGGGCGTTCAAGATACCTACTTGGACAACGTCCAGTATGTCTGATAAGGATGGACTCGCCTTGGCACTGCATAGAGATAACTTGACATTGATTAGGATATGTGACTTGGTCACTTCCGCACACCGGCATGTTTCCACCGCCGCTCATCATGCACTCGGCTATCCTCTTCCTACACTCCTCCTGTAACGAAAAATGAAAATATCATACATATTAGACGCCCATCAATTGCAACATATATCAACAAGTAATCTCGCGGATCCGATGAAGCGGTTGCTATCTCCAAAATAATAATCCTTCGAACGTCATCTCAGAAACTTTTCAATCCTGCGGCTTCGTTGATTTCCCGCGTTTCTCGACGGATATTTTTATACGACGCGAGAAACAAGCGCGATTCATGTTCGATTGCAACCTCATTGGAACGTACGGACGTCTGTCTGAGCGCGGAGCCGCGTACAGGAAACGAACGGAGCATAGCGGGGTTAAACAACGTCTACTGTTCCGACGCCTATATATAACCGCGCGGGCATTACGCGTACGATATCACGAAAAATCCTCGGCGGCAATAACGAGGCGCGCGCGCCAACAAATCGCGCTTTCTGTTCTCCTCCCGTCAGCGACGTTCGAGCGACGTCCGATCGTGTCCGAGGTGGCGCCAACCCAGCTGCATTAGGCATGCATTATCAATCATTGGCATTCAGCGTGTCGGTGTAACGCGCCGGGTTGCAATGCATCGCGTGGCAGTGCGCCATGCAGCACCGGTGCATCGCCGCGTGACGCATTCCGAGCGCCGCGGACGCGTCGTGCTGCAACAATCATTCAGCCTCTCTTCCTGATTTATTGGAGTGCCGCCCTCTTCCTCTCTTTCCTCTCCCTTCTCTCTTCTTTGCCACGACTGATCCACGTCGTGGCATTGGAGTTAGACAACGCACAACCGGAAGGGGGCGACGTCGACCTCGTGCGGAAAATAAGTCGCGAACAACGCGCGCTGGAATTTCCCTCGGAGATTTGCGAGTCTCCAGATTGATTTTGGCTCGATAATTAAATTAAATCTCGAGCACGTGACGCGAATATTGCATTCCTCGTCTTTGATTAATTTTCGCGCGGTGAATCGCTCTCTCTCTTTGCGGTAGCTTCCTTTCGTTCTTTTTGTCCCTCTTCCGTCTGCTCGTCTCATGTAATTGCTGTACGCACTCGACGGTGCCGGGAGGTGTGTAATATTCCGTAATCGTTCTCGGTGACAGCGCGCGCTTAAAAATATTTTTCGCAACGAGATAAACGCGACTGGGTTTGCACGTGAACGGCAAGCACCGCGAAAGCACCGAAAGAATGTGTTTAAGAAACCTGTTTGGGGAGAGCCGATGTCTTACCGGGTCCTCTCTTCTTCGCCCTCCCCTGCTCGTCGTCTCACGCACCCGTCGTCTACTTCCCCTCCCCTCCCCCTCTTTGGGAACTAACTCTTCGCGTTACTCTCGGCAACAGTCCCCGATGAACATGTGCGTGTCGAACACACGCCAAGAAATTTCCCCCCCGAAAGCTCACCCACTAGTAGATATTCCTCGCTCACCTGTATCGAGACCGAGGAATATCGATCATGTGAGTTGACTAACTAGATTTAAGAATAACTTTCTCTTCGCTTCTGTCTGTCTCTTTGGATTGTACTTGTGATTATAACACAAACGGAAGAAAGGAATCATATTTGATCTCATATCAAAACCCTTTTCATGTCGATGCAATTGTGAAGCAAAGCACTCATCCTTCCGTCATTTCTCACACGTCGGAGAATCTCATCTAAGCAGACGCGAGAGGAACATTTATTTTCGCAACGCTCGGTTTATTAGCCTCTCCTTATAAGCTGGTTCGCTAATAAACCATCATCTCGTGCTTAGAATCGATCACGCTACACCGTGGTCAATTGTCCGTTGCGTCAATTGTCAAGCCGCGAGTCAATTGCGGCCGTGTGGCGCCGGTCTCTGTTTTTTGCTCCAATTCCTGTCGTACCGTCATATATCTCGATCGTGACGCTCGCGCGAAACCCGCAATTAGCGCCAGACTATCATGGAAATTATGGCACGATAATTGACGTCTTTGTGCTCGACGACAACGTGCCGCTTACCGTGCACGCGAGCTAATAATTAACGGTTGCCCCTGACGAAGTGACGTAAATAACAGAAAATGGATGAGTGGCTAAAACACAACATCAAACATAGTAACGAGATATAGAGACGGCGGAAAAGGGGGAGGGAGGAGTGGGAAAATTTGTTGGACTAAAAAAATGCGAATTAAGAAGCAAAGTCTAAAATATAGTATCTCGTACACTGTAAAAACTGTAAAAACTGATATGTTAAATTTAAAATTTCATGTATCCCGAATCATCCACTCTCATTTATGTGTAAATTTAACACAAAACAAATGTGCTAAAAAGTAACACGCATAATATGTAAAAAATTAACACAAGAATTTAACACTTGAATATCATTAGGAATCACAGTTTGTGTTAAATTGACATATATACAATGTTAAATTAACTAAAATAAAACGTTACTTTAACATCTAAGAGAAGTATTAATTTATGGTTTTGATGAAATGAAAATGTTAAATTGACAATCTAGGTCTGATATATTAAATATGTCAATTTAACACAACCTGTGATTCCTAATAGTATTCAAGTGTTAAATTCTTGTGTTAATTTTTTCCATATTATGCGTGTTACTTTTTAGCACATTTGTTTTGTTAAATTTACATATAAATGAGAGTGGATGATTTGGAACACATGAAATATGTTAAATTTAACATATCAGTTTTTACAGTATAGAAAACTGTCAAAATTTGTCACTCTTTTCGATACTTAGACTAGTTGTCTCGATTACATCTCTACTGGCACCATAAGACATTTATACGCAGGAATCGTGCGTTATTAATGAGATGCGTGAGTCAAATCTCGAAGGTCGGCATGCAAACGAAAAAATGCGGCTGAGATAAAGATGGAAAAAGAATGATGAGGGGAACAGTATAGCGCGATTATTTACCGGCGATCAATCGCTCCGGCACGCAACCGGAACAATAAAAGAAAGGTTTGATAAAGCAGAGAGTGTTCCTTTGCAAATTTTTTCGTATCTATACAGAAAAAAACAAACTAAACCGTGGAGAAAGTTTGACTTATCGACATAAGAGTTTTAATTCAACTCACCCACTATGATTTTTTAGATAAGATTTTGGAAAAAATCACTTTTGATTTTATAAACCATGTTTTACTCACTTCTTTTCTATTTTTTCAATTTATTGTTTACCTTTTTTTTCTCTCTTTCTTTCTTTTTTACAATAGAATTTTACACACACTCAAGCGACATAGCGACTTGGCCTTTACTAGTTCTCATATCCATTTGTAAGTTTTATGAAACTTTTGACACTTCACCATTAAAAATAAAGATATAGCGCAATAAATGTCACAAATATGTACCCTTATGAAATACAAAGTATATCCTTACTTTATTCCCAGGCGAATCTCATTCGTGCGCCTCGTTTATAGCGCAGCAAATTGAATCCAGCGAGATTGCACCGTTTCAACGACCGGCTTTTAGCAGAGACGTCGATCGTACAGAGTGTGATAATAATGATTTTAACGTACAGCTACTCGGTTTCTCGTATCATTAGGTGATCAAAGCCACCTAATTGTAGTCTCTCGTTAATCGGTACACGACCGTTGCGGCACAATGTGGCGAGATGAGAAATGTCTCTCTTTCTCTCTCTTGTTGACGGGAACCCAGACGGGAAGGGAATAAGTTCGATGGTTACTCGGCCGTCTTTATCATAATTAATTCGATAAGGAGGAAACGAATGACCGCGATATAAATAAAAACGATTTTCTCTCTTAACGGCTGTGCAACGGGAGTCATGCGTACATACGATTCCAACCGACGGATACACGCTGTCGCTATCGCCGCGGAAATTGATTGGACCTCACGATTTCTTATTCACATGTAATCTCGCGCATACGCATTCCCTCGTGCAGCATCGAGAACGATGTTTCATCTCGCGGCTACGTCGCGGAAAAGTACCTCTATATCCCGTCATTATTCGTAAAATATATATTTTACGTTACGAAACGTGTGTGCCTTCTTGTGAATTGTGTGTTTTGTCTGTGAATTCGACAGAATATTTCGTTCTCCCTCTCTTTTCTCTCGTAACTCTTTAATTTATTAACTACGAGCATGTACCGCAAATGTTGCTTTCTAACTCTCAATATCATAGGGATTTACATGACGCTATTCAAAAGATTTATTATAGCTGATGGTACGTACAATTTGTATATTACAGATAATACAGTTTGATGATATCGTGCCCCCTCTGGCGCTCGATCACTAATTCATTTCGGAATCTCTCGTTACGCGCGGTATTATCTTGGTAATTGTAACTAAGTTAGCCGTGAATACGATACGGCAAAGTCGCGAGCAATCGTCGGCCCGGCGATAAGTTATGTTTATAATTAACTAGGAAAAATCGTACCGTTCGCAAGCAACTTTAATTGCGACGTTGTAGGCACACCGCGGTTTACCTTTCTTCTTTACTCACCACAAACAAAAGGCTACTTGTATCGCAGCTCGGGTCGTTCGAGAGTGTGGGATAAAGAGAAACATTTACATTGAGCGCAAAACCGTAATCGTTTTCGTGCGCCGACAACGAGAGCAAGTCGAGGATGAGATGGTATTAAATGAGATTTGAAAAGCGAGGTATTAAAAGAAATCTTGAATTTTCTGAAATCGTCTGCCCCAGTTTTAGTTGAATGTGTCAGTGTCCCGAATAATATTTTCAGCGGCGTCGAGAACGACGCTCTTTTCTCTGTTGTTTTTAATCTGTTATTCTCAGCATCCTCTCTTAATTATACCTCTTCATCGTCTCTAATGTGCAAATTTCTAGTCTTGAAGTGAGTCAGTGTACTATGTGAGTCAGTGAGTCAGTCTAGTGGCAGTTGAGAGTCGACACGTGCGAATTTACATTTAAAATTACTGCATTTATAAAATTAATTCGATAAAACGTACTTAATTTTCTTAAAAATAGCATATGTTATAATGTAATGTGTACCTTTAATGTGCAACAACTCAATATGTATATTTCAGTCGTGTTATACGACATAAACCTAAATAATTAATCCCTCTGAAAATGTGTAAAAGCAAATTAAATTTATTATATTACATTAATCTCGGTTTGAAAACGAATATATAAACCACGTACATATAAAAACGTACATATAAATTACACTACCTTATCTTTATTTCTACTTGTATTCGCCCAAGAATAACATTCATTTCTTTTCATCTTTGCTATAAACAGCATCCAAATGTCAAATATTTGGATAAAAAGTCGCATAAATCGTAATAATCGCATGCCTTTAACACCCTAAAATGCTGGTGCGAATAAATTTCACGCACCTAAAGTAACAAAGACATTTTATCACGTATACGAAGATTAAATCGCAAGACTCAAAAAGTCTCACAAATTATTATATTGACCATCTATCTACTTGGGATCACTTCAAATTTTTATTTGCGTAATCGTAAATATATAATAATAAACCCGAACATTATAACATCTTAAGAATGTAAAATATTAAAAAATCCTAGTATTTCAATTTCTAGTCAATAATTCAGTCCTATAATAAGTCCTATAAAAATTCAATAATTTGTCAAAGCTATACGCATAAAAAGTTTACTAAAAGAGGAAATAAAAAATACATATATATTTAAGTTAAAATATGTAATAATTTATATAGAAAAGTAAAAATAATAGAAATACCAGTAACATGACTGACCAAAAAGAAAAAGGATGAACCCAAGATAAAAGGACTACCTGAAATAATCTAATCTTACAATAGATATACGAAAAATCTTTTAGAGTCTACCATAATAATGAAAAACGATAAGACCTGAAAGACGAGACTAAAAATTCAAGAATTTAAAAAAGAATTAAGTTTCAAAACATAATACAGTAAAAAACTTTGAGGATAAACCTTTTCTCTGAAGCTTCGATCATTTGTAATTGTAATAATATAATCCGAATCTGATCTAAGAAGCCGAATTCTCTTCTGGGCGCGCAGCGTGAAATTAAATACTCGAGTTGCTCGTCAAATAATTTATTAAAAAAATGAAAAAAAATTGGAGTTCTCACTCCTTTCGTTAATTACCTTAGCCGTTTTGGCGGTGCTGGTCACGGCGTGGAGATTGGCGACGATGAGCAACAGGAACACTACGACGCGTATCGTCGGCAGCATCATTGTCTCGTGTTCTCGTCGGCACCTCACGTTTTCGGACAATGACAAAAGGGATCGAAGTCGTTGGAGTCCACGGAGGTAAGGAAGAAACGAATAAAACGCACACACGCACGAGCACACTCCGTGTATTCACATGCACCCACTCGTTCCCGCTGCTGCGTTCCCGACGCGGCGCAGCATGTTTCCCCGCTTACCTCATTTGACAGCGTGAGTCCCGGTGGGACCGCTCTCTCGGCTCTACGATTACGACTACCAGCCACGGGCAGTTTCGCGGACGGTCGAGAATGCGCGTCGCCGACCGAGAGAGCTAAAGGAGCCTGCGAGATAGGAGTCCGTCGTCCGTGCGCGCGAATCCCTTTCGAGAGAGCAGCGTTACACCACCGAGTGCGTCCGGCGACCGCGACCAACCGTGGCGAATGCTGCGGAGCAACTGGCACTTGCCACTTGCTTGGCCGCTGGAGCAGCCTCTGACCACGGCCCGATATTCGCCGGGACACTCCGCCGCTGTACTCCTCTTCCGACGATGACGACGACAACGAACGCCCCGGTGCTCCGCGATCCCTACATCGGGAGTAGGGATGTTCACGAATCTTCATAATATAAACACTTAGAGATATGAAGACCTTGTCGTTGACGTCGTCGACATCGTTGTTATCATTGTCGACGTGCCAGTGTTTCAACGGAACTCTACCTTCGATAATTGATCGAGCAAGGGCGCGGATTCCGATTCACTTGGGCATCGCCGCGCGCCGCGGCCATCGTCCACTCCAGCACACCTGTTCACTCAGGTATGCGGCGATTTTCACCTCTCCCTCGCACTCGCTCTCCGTTCTTTCTCTCTCGTTCCCTCGCCGTCACCGCCGCCGCCGCCGCCGTCGCCGTCGTCGTCGCCGCCGCTGCTTCCCTTCGCCTCCTCACCCGCGAAGATGGTTTACCGTTGCTTTGCAGGACCGAACGATCGGATCCAGTCATTCTGCGTAAACTTTGCACTTTCACCTTGCACCCAGCCGCGTTGTAATCACCTCACGTACTTTGTCGCGCTCCATCGCGTTAATTGAACGGTCCATTACAAAAATTGAGATCGACTCCGTCCGCTCTCATCTCGTCGTCTCTTTTGCCGTGTAAAATATACATCGTTCACAATAAGCGTGTTGATGTGAACTTTTCTTTTTTTAGTATCAACCACATTCGCACTAATTGGAGCCATTCTTCTGGAATCAACGAAGTCTTTTTATTCTGGCTGAGATGTTTTCATATAATCTGTTTTTATTTCTCTCAGTTCTGTTAAATATAGAGACGGTGCAACTATTTTTGCACTGTCATTAGCCGCGATTTGCATTAACAATGCCAAGATGCCGAGAGGACTCGAAGAAGTAAGAAGAGCGCGAAAGGCGTAAAGTCTAGCGGTTGCTGAAAAGAAGCGCTCTCTCTCTTCCCCTCTCTCTCTTTTTCTCTCTCTCTCTCGCATCAAATAGAAAAATACTTAAAATAGAATCGAGCGGTGGAAGCGATGTATCATCTTCTACGAATGCATCAGATTTGAGGTTGATGACAAACACATCCGTTCACACATTCGCGCGTGTTCGCGAGGCGCCCACCCGACATATCCTCTCTGACATTTGGGCGAGATTTATTTGAGCCAAGTTTTCCTCAACTGCGGACGGATTTTCGCATCCAGCTCAAATTGCTAGTTTATATGTCGTTTTGCGCACTCGAGCGAGTCACCAAACAGAGTTGTTCGTACGAATTTGCGCAAACACGTCTAAGTGTGTAAACGGTACTTTAAACTTGATTCATGCCAATTAGGAGAGGACGAATCGTTGTTCGCGAGTGTGTATATCTCATGCACGAAATGCCTGCCTCGTTAGGCTCATGGACCCACGCTCGCAGCAGCCGGGTTGCCGCGACTACAGGCGCCAAACAACAGCGATCGCGACGAGATACAAGGAATACCACGAATATTTCTTATCAATAACACAGTCGCGTTGTAACACTCTTGCTGCGGTTAGCAGTACGTATAATGATTTCTCAGAAATTCTCTTCCCGTTCTTATTGCAGTAGATATATGAAAGAATAGGAAGAGATAAAGCATTATTGAAAATTAAAAAAGCAATTGAAGATAAAAATGACAAGAAATAAGGAAACAAATAAAAAGTCAGAAAACAAAACAAAAAAAATGAAAAATAAAAGTAAAGATAACAACGATTATTTCTTACGGATAAATAAATTTATTAACGGGAACGCCGCGTATCATTGATTTTCCTCCGGATCGCAAAGCACTTGTTGCAGAACGCGCATTCCGTCTTCGAATTTAAGATACTTGTACGACTGTTTCAACGGTGATCCAAGCGCGGATCCTTCCAACAGAATCGCCTTTCCATCTTCCACTTCTGACAAATTCCAGATATTGCGAAAGTAAATTGTCGAAAGAAGATTGTCGATCAGAGTCGAACTGCTCCACGCGCACACGTGCACCTATATGATTGTTAAGCTTCATGAGTACAATTGCGAAAAGCTATTGAGCATGCAGTATCGCGACGTGCGTACGTTCGGAGGAAACTATTCTTTTCGAGTATCGAGGTAGCGCTTCTTGATACTCCGGACGCGAAGTGCGTCTCGGCTTGCGTAACGATAAACAACAATTTCTATCGAACTTAAGAGATCGTACACCCGAACGTGGGTTTCCCTGCTTGCAAAAACAAACTCTTAGCTTTTTATTGCGCATATGCGGTGCTTCACGTACGTTTATTTTCAGAGCCCGTGCGCATGACTTCATCGAGTGGTGTATCAGGGCGCAGGTTCTGGCAATGTGCGCGCTCGCATCATTTCCGGCAGCGTCGTCATTCAGGTAATTGTCCAAGTCATCTATAAGAAGTACGGACGGCACGGCCGCATAGGTGTGCAACTTGGCGAGTTGCTCCACGAGACTCTCATAATCTGACAGGTAGCTGAAAGCAGATACAAGAAGCATGGATAAAGGATAAACGGCCGCGCTGATTTCCAAGTAAAAAGATTCCGAAATCCGATTGCGACTCGACTGTTCGATCGAGCGAGATTCAGTCAATTTCGTTAGATGAATCCGACGCAAAGGACGATAGAGAATCAATTCGCCGCTTGACTCGATCGAGTGTCTGAACGTCTATTTTCGAACGGCACATTTTTCTGCGGCACCATTCGTATTATTTTTGGATGATGTTCACGCGATTTCCGCATTCCATCGTCGCCTTGCAAACTTATTTCTTTCGTGGAAGCATCGCTTTATAGGAGGCGTTGGTATGCGCGGTACGCGCGATTCCTGTTACTATAATAAATCGATAAGCGAAAAATACATTCATCTTCGGCGCGTCTGACTGATTAATTTCTCCCGACGTGATCTATGCCTGTCCGTTAGCAAGAAATATACGAGCTTGTAAAGCAGCTCGCATATGCTTACACGGACGTGGAATATTAACCCTTTAAAGCGCATAATTCATGGAACATTCTAGTAAAGTTTTTTAAATAAAATATTGTCAAAAACACTCTAAATAGCACATTTATAAGGTTTCAACTACCCGATCCTAAGTGGTCTCTATTGATACCAGTGATACTTAAAGGGTTAAGCGCTGGTTCGTGTGTAACAAGTGAAGCAAATTGTAACTTCTTCGTATGGCTCTTTCGCGGAATAACATTATTAATAACTCGTAACTAGCGTAATATCATACGCGATAAATTAAAATGAGGATGCAGCGACTTCGATCGAATACGAAGACGCTCTCGAGCAGAGGCGGAATGAGCGACAGCGAGCGAGAGAGAGAGAGAGGGGGGGAGAGAGAGAGAGAGAGAGAACTACACAGATCGATTTGTCAAGTCGTCTGTCGGCATGGTGGCATGTGGTATGTGGCCTTCCGCATCAGTTTGGAACGTTAACGCATTTTTGAGACACACATGCGCGCTGACTTGGTCGCTCGGTCTCTCGTTCACGAGCGGAAAGTCCGATGCGTAAATTCGCGTCGGCGACCGTCGTAAACTCGCGCCAATTCTTGACGATCAAATCTTTATGCAGCATGCGAACAGCGCACACGTGCAACAAAGTGCACGCGCGCGCTCGCGATAGGCAGAAACATGTTCCGCTTACATAAATCTCATCAGCCTGAGAGCCGCGACTGCTGGATTGCCTCTGTCGTGACAGGCCGCCGGTTGTCTTTCCAATGGTGCTGGCGTAATATAAACGACACGTCGTCCTTCCTCGGCCCAATACATTGCGGCCTGCGCAGCCAGGAAAAGCTGTGTTTCAGGAAACGTCATATCGGTCGACAGGTATTTCACGCAGCGACTGAGACCCGCGGAGAGGAAGAAAGAAAGAGAGAGAGACGAATGCGTAACGAGCCGATTAACGGTGTCGACACGCGTTGACAGTTTGATAGCTCTCGTATTACCAGCGGTGGCGACGACAGCGGAGGGAACATGTAGAGAGAAGAAAGAGAGGAGAGAAAAAAATGAGTCGCACCAGTTGGCGACGATGAGTCTATCGCGGGGATCCGGTGATTATAATTGGTAATAAACGAGAACCGCGCTGAGAAAGAGAGAGAGAGAGAGAGAGAAGGAGAGAGAAGATTCATCCGTGCTGCGAGAGTGTTCGTTATTAATGTTTTAAATAGATCGTAAACAAGATGAACTCTTCAAACGATCGATCTTAAGGAAAGCAAACTAACCGTGTTGCTCTACGCAGAAATGTGAGGTTTACGTTGATACGTGAGGGTAAATTTTGTTTGAACGTTTCGCGAGGATTAGACGTACGTTGGTTTACCAATTTCTACAGTTTGTTAGGTTTTGTTTTCAAGCTCGTGTGTATCAATCTTTACGGCAAATTTACGTCGCTTCCGTTCGCATTTTGTGTATGTACCTCAAACATAAAAGACTTGCTCAGTTCCTTCGGGCCGCATAATAAAGTCATCTTGATGTTCTTCGAGAACATAATTATACAGCGATCTGAAATATACTTCATCAAGTTTCGTTACAACAGAGGAAGAATAAAATAAGAAAAATAAGAAGAGGCGTAACACAATTCCAAAGAACGATTCAAATGTGAAATAGTTGCTTGAAACAAGTCTATCCGAAACGAAACAAGCAAAATATTCATTTAGAATATCTTTTTGCGAAATACATCCGTGATCTTATTATCGACTTTATGAAATCACTTATTATCTTGTGTTTTCCAGTCGCAATGTTATGCAAATGTTACAAATATGGCACGTACAATCTTAACAGGTTAGGAAAACAACAGTTATATGTTTGTATTATTTAATAGAATAAAAAGAGTATAAATTTATGGAGTTTACTCACGATTAAAAGTTGTCACTCATAACACTTAGGGCCACTTTCGTCAGCTTTATATCAAATCTTATTCTTGACAAAAGAAACTCCAGATACCTCGAAATCCTGAACACACCGCACATCCCGCCAAAATGGACATTACCGCTATAGATTAAGGCCATTCTACAATGGCATAAATATGTCGTGAACGTAAGAACTGACCAATCAGAGTATGTTATTCACTGATTGCTTTATTCTGATTAGTGATGTAATCATTTACGATCACTCTTACGTAATTCAACTTCAACTTCAATATTTAGCTCCAGGCGTCTCTAATGGCTCCTGCACACAGGACGCGGTAATGCTTGCCGCGTGGCAAAAGTTCGCACGATAGCCAATCAATATGCTGCTTCCGTAATAATCTTCTAGCTCTTACGGAAAAACAACATATTGATTGGATGTCGCGCGGACTTCCACCGCGCGGCAAGCATTACCGCGTTCTGTGTGCAGGAGCCATTATGCCCCAACACCATTATTCCGATTTATGATATATTTCGAGAGTAAAGTCTTGGAAAATTCCAAGGCACGTTCAAAAAAATCACAAGGTTCGAACTTGTCCAAACATGTCTTGATGTGACGGCGGCTATGCAGGATTCACACCGCGTCCGATGTCCGACGTACGACGTTCGATATCCAATAGGAAAACAGCTTTCTAATATAGAATTCAATTCTCCATTGGAAAGCTGTTCTCTTATTGGATATCGGATGTCGTACGTCGGATATTGCGCAGTGCGAATCCTGTATTAAGTCGGGACTACTCTTACGTAATTGTAGAACAGCCTTTAGAGCTGAAGAACTATCGATGGCACTATCGATAGTCACATTGTAAATTATCGATAACTATCGATGGAATAGAATATTGACTGCGTTCAGCAAAAAAACTGTTTTGCAACCGTTGTAAAATTCGTCAATCTGATTAGTACATGCTCTTGGATTCAACCAAATTAAGAGTATACACCAATCAGATTCATGAATTTTACAACAGTTGCAAAGCAGCTTTCTCTGCTGAATGCAGCCATTGATAGTTCTCGCCTTTACTACAGACTAGACAAGATGTGTTCAAACAAGTTCGGATCTTGTGATTTTTTGGAACGTGCCTTGGAATTTTCCAAGACTTTATTCTCGAAATATATCATAAATCGGAATAATGGCGTTGGGGTATAACTCTTAGAGAGGCCAGGAGCCAAATATTGAAGTTGAAGTTGAAGTTTACTACAAGATTATGCTCTATGCTCGTTGCTAAGATACAAACGCAAGAGCGCTAAGATTGAAATAAGAAAAAAATCATTTGATGCTGCAAATGTTTTGATGCGCCGCATAGACTAATCACAATCTTTCTTTACATATTATAAAGCATTTGCAGCTCCAAACGGATCGTTCCCATAGTCCAGTAATAACAAAATTCTGACATTATACGAGTTCATTATAGTTCTTCCAAAATAATTCTAAATTATTTCTCTTTAATCAAGGAATTGAAAAATGACAAAGGAAATCCTAATAATATATTTGTATAAACAATTTATTTAGATATTCCTATATACATTTTATTAACTCATATATTGATATTGTATATATCATACCTATTTAAGTCTAATCAAAGTAATACAAATGTAATTTTTTTATTCTTTTATAATTTTATATCTTTTTTTTTAAAGAGATCACATATATGTAAATTGAAGAAAATCAACGAAAAATGCAACATGAAGCAACTTCAAGAAAATTTACGCACAATAACGCAAATTTATCATTAGTAAAGATTCATTTAAGAATATGTCTCATTAAAAATTCTTGTTTGATTTGAAATTTCTCTCTTCCATTTGTTCCAATTGAAAAATGTATAATAAATGACAATGTATTGCCAAGTAACTCTTCATCCATCTCACATGATTTGTTTGTAATTACGATTGAAAAATACTCTCAAATATGAAATATTTGATAATTACATTGAAGTTATACCAATCTTATGGTAATGACATAACCTCTAAATAGTCATTAAACATCATCGGTTGCATCTTTTTCTATCTTTTTTTTTTTACCTATATGTACAAGAAAAGTATCATCATTTAATTTTAAATATATAGATACAACATGTACCAGATTTCCTGTCCTCTGTCCCATATGTGAACTTTTTAATCTTCACGAGGTCCCATATATGAAAGGATAAAAAATCTGGGACGACGCGTTTTATTATGTAAAATATTCAACTTTAATTAAAAAAGAAACATACAAAACTATTTTATTTCGATAAGTTTTATATACGTTTCAGTTGTAAATATCTTAATATGATAAAAATTATACTTCTATAAGAAGTAATAGAGAAAGTAACTTTAAAAAAGAACTTGTTAAGAATCTCGGAACGTTATCGAGATTCGTTAGAAGTTAATTTCTATAGTTAAATGAACGAAATACTTTTGTCTTAACAAAAATGCAAAGAGGAGTATTAAATTTAACGTTTCTTCTAAACGTTTTCCTAAATCTAATCTAATCTAATAAATAAAGTCAACTAAATGATGATGATTTTCTGATATGAAATTAAAGTTGAACGCTTCATTGTCGCATATAAATAATAAAAATGCAAAATAGTGGTAATAACGAGGTTTACGCATATTGGAATAAAATATGCTAAAAGACGCGATCTTGATACCCACTTTCTGCCATAGTAGTGGTGGGTTTAGTCGCTCCAGCGGCTACTTGATGATGCGGATGACGCATGTGACCTGGCCTTCTTGGAGGTGCAAGATATTCAAACATACTTTGAGTGTGTTGCGCCAACATTTTGCTAAGATCACATGGCATCGGATCAGTCCAGAAGAAATCGTGATTCAACGCCGAATCCGAATCACATCTCTTATGAGGATCGAGAATTAGGAGTTTATCCAATAAGTCGCAAGCGTATGGATCCTTCAAATATGGCTTCAATCTATCTTTGACCTGTACGAAATTGTTAAAAATTAGGTTTAGGAACACCGTCTTTTTTTCTTACTCATCACTACGCGTTGGCATTTACTTATTTTTAATATTCATTTCAATATACCTTTCTCTTTTGTCCTTTAGGAAGATCCATTTTATTGAATAAATCTAAACTTTCAACGCCATTCCATACTTCGGTCGTTATCGAGCCGCACAACTGCGAAATCAATATAAGTTGTTGTTGCTCGGTATTCCCTTGCATTATGGGCGATCTATACATTTTAAATGAAGTATTTAGATTATAATAAAAAAATCATTGTGAATACTTTTTTATTATCTCAATATATATACCTTGTCCACATTTCAGCCATGATGCAGCCAGCGCCCCATAAATCTACAGGCGGTCCGTAATTTCTATCACCAAGAAGTAATTCTGGCGGTCGGTACCACAGAGTGACAACTCTGTTCGTGTAACGATTTGAATGACCATTTTTAGAACTGTACGCTCGTGCCAAACCAAAATCAGCTAACTTTAGTACACCATTTTTTGTTATTAAAACATTAGCAGCCTTCATATCTCTATGTAAAATCTGCAAAATATATAATTATAGAGTGTCATATTATATCTTATATATGATACATTGTACTATCACAATTATCATTATTATACATCACTATTGTCATCATATTATTTCAGAAAATAAAACACTCAATAACTTACCTTATTACTATGAATGTAGTAAAGACCATTTAATAATTGTTGCATAACTTTTTTAATTTCTCCTAGACTAAATTTTACATTTACATTTGATAATAAGCCAGCTAAATCGTGCTCACAGAAATCAAATACTAGGTAGAAAGTTGAGCGAAACCGATTATACTGGGTAGCTGAGAACAAATCACAAAATTAATTATATATAAAACTTATATATCTACTTACTTATATATAAAACTTATATACGTCTAACATAATTACACAACTATAACTGTTTATAATTATGATTATACATAAGAACAATCTATTTACCTCGTGTCCTACAAATCTCTATAAGATTCACGACATTTTCGTGCTTCAACAATTGTAATATCTTTATCTCTCGTAGTGCTGTAATAGGAAACTGCAACAATATTTCAGTATAAGTATAACATACTTTTAGAAAATATTAAGCAAAACATTCCATATTAATCACATGTGATAGAAACTTACTCCTTCTTTTTCATTATCCATCAGTACTTTTTTCATTGCAACAAACTTCTTAGGGTTTTTCTTATCTCTGGCCTTAAATACTTCTCTGCAAAGTAATTAGGCACATAGTAAAATATAAAATTAGACACCGACACAGAATATATATCACCTTCTGTTACATGCTTCATGTTATAAATCCAACTCAATATATAATATGTAATAAAAAAATTCTGTTATTCTCAATATGCTATAATTAAGATTAATTATAAGATCTTTAATATGTTAAGCACCATGCTGAATTCATATCTCACTCGACCTAAATTCTTAATATATTATAATGATATATTATTATTGCTTCTATTTTTATAAATATTTAATAAATATAATAAAATAATTAGTAAGATCACTCTTAATCAGATAAATAAAATCAGCTTTTATAATAACATCCTTGAAAAAATTATATTATTCAGAATATATGAGTGATATAACAATATTAATATAACAAATTCTATTAGAGTCGGATCATATGCCACTAGAATTAAGAATAGAGGAAGAGGAAGAGGATGAAGAAGGAAGAGTACCAGAGGGAGGAGAGGAAGAGAACAAGGAAGGAGGAGGAGAGAAGGAATTTATAAGTTGAAAGGAGGGGGATAGGGTGAAGTTTAAAGAGGAAACGGAGGATTTCGTGCTGGAAGAATGTCAAAATACAGTGGAGAAGAAATGGCAAGGAATTAAAGAGAAGATACTAGGAACGATGGTGAGGAAAAAGATGAAGATAAGAAGGTGGAAATTGGGGGATAAGGATTGGTGGGATAATGAATGTAAAAGAGAGAAGAGGAAGGTAAAGAGGTGTTATAAAAGGTGGAGGAGCGGAAAAATAGGGAGGGTGCAATATATAGAGGAAAAGAAGAAGATGAAAGAAATGCAAGAGAGAAAACAGAGGGAGAGCAGAAAGAAAGAAGAGGAAGAACTGAGGATGTTGAGAAAAGAAACGGAGGTGTGGAAATATATAAATAGGAAGAGGAAAAAGAGAAGAGAAATGGAGAATAAAATTGGAGAGGAGGAATGGAGAAGACATTTTAAAGGGTTATTAGATGGGGAAGAGGAAAAGGAAGAAGGGAGGAAGAGGAGAGGAAGGCAGGAAGGAAAAGAAGAAGATGAATTGGAGGAAAGGGAAATTGAGGAGGCGGTGAGGAAAATGAAGAAGAGGAAGGCGTTTGGAAAGGATGGAGTCCCCATGGAGGCATGGATGTATGCAGGGGAAGGGATGAAGAAAAGTCTGGTGGAGTTGATGAGGGAGATATAGGAGGAAGGAGATATTCCAGGAGACTGGAGGACAAGTATTGTGGTACCGCTGTATAAGAAAGGAGATATGGAGGATGTGAGAAATTATAGGGGGATATCGCTGTTGTGTACGGCGTATAAGATATATGCGGAAATATTAAGGAAAAGACTAGAGAAGGAGGTGGAAGAGAAAAAGATATTGCCAGAGAGTCAAGCGGGTTTTAGGAAAGGAAGATCGACGATAATATTTTTGTGTTGAATCATTTAGTACAGAGGAAAGGAGAAAGAAGAGGAAAGGAGAGGTTATATGCTTTGTTTGTGGACATTAAAGCAGCTTTTGATAATGTTAATAGAGAGAAGTTATGGGAGATAATGGAAAGTAAAGGGATAAATCAAAGGATGATAGAAAGGGTGAAGAGGATATATGAAGAGACGAAGATGATGGTGAAAACAAGGAATGGATTTACGAACAGTTTCTGGACCAAAAAAGGAGTAAGACAAGGATGTGCGTTGAGCCCGTTATTATTTAGTATATATATTGCGGA